GGATTCACGTTTCAGTAGTGTACTCGACCACACGGTCGCACCAGGACTGCTGGAGGCACTTCGTGATTACAATGCATTTGAACTGTCTTTGTGACGAAACAAAAACTGTTCTCGACGGAAAGCGCACAATCTATGTATACATGACTCAGTGCCCGTTTAGCTGTACTGCCCTTCCGGTGTTTAGCTTTCATGTTATCTAGAAGAAGCACTAGGATTGTTGCCAGGTTTCACTGACAGATTGTGCTTGATTCTAGGCAGGAGCGATCGAGATGCAGGGATTGGGTTCAAACCACGGACCCAATGGCCAGTAAGTTTGCACCTTAACTACTGTATCTCTTGAGCTCAGAGTTAGCTCGAAGAAGTTACCCAGTAAGCTACCTTGGCCTCCCCAGTTTGAGGAAGAAGAAAACGGAGAAAAGCTAGACATGCTTCACCTAGCTCCAAAGGCCACGTAATCAACGATTGATCCTCATGCTTCGGCAGAAGTTGATGTAATTCAAAGGATGTTGAGTTCATGTGAACGTATTGTTACGAATGCAGTCTTTATCCTGATCGAGCGGGAGAACAAGACGGAATGGCATAGAATGAATGCACCTTACTTGTCTAAAGATAGACGTACATAGGCTGAAAGTAAAAGCGGAAGCATGATTAATATGAAACGATAATGTGAACACAAAGAATAGTCATGGCACGCGCCAACGTCCCCAGTACCTCAACCGTAACGGCGGAGAGCACACGTTCCCCATCTGACTGGCAGTGTCAGTCACTGTTCTATCCCATACATACAGGGCACAGGTCACAATTACATCACGTCCTCAACCCCATCAACTTTGAAAGCTGTAGACTTCGACCTCCGTTTCTCGAGTTCCCCTTTCTAGACTTAGACAACCTGGCAGCATCCCAGCCTTCGTGCTTTCTTCGGGTGACATAGTAGCTTCCGAATTGGTGTCTTTAAAATCAGCTTTTGGTTGGCCATTCTAATGAGGATGATCCACGGTATTTGAGCCCGTTACAGTCTCCATGGTACTTTGATTCCAAGGTTTCAGTGGTTCATTTGCGTACATGTTTTTGCAACCTATTGTGAGAGGGAAGGGCAAATCTCAAGGCTTCTGTCTCACTACTTCACTTTTGACTGCATGGAGAGGGGCAACACAACTAGCTTCTTGTAGTGATGAACCACAGAGGCCTCTTATAGGTTAGGCGGTGTTACTCGCGCGTCCTAGAAGCATGTTATCTGTTCATCTGAGTATCTCAGCCACTTACGCTTCGCTTTTCAGAACGGTTTTTGGAAACCTGTCAGAACCGGTTGACCGAAAAATGGTTCACTCGATTTCGACCGAGCACATAACGTGTGCCACTCTACGTACAAATTTCCCCTTAGTCCTTTTACTATGAAGTTTTACGTTCCATTCTATATTTGTCTACATCCAGAGCACGCCATTTAGCTTGAGTCATAGTGGGGAATCGTACAGTCATAACTTTTGAGACACACTGACTGAATTCCTGATAGTCCTCCGGGTTCAGCACAAGCACAGGATCGGCAATAAATTGGATTGGCATCATTAGCGTTTCTCACCCTCTTAGGAACAGTGGGACGCGTGAGTCGTAATTTCACTGAATAAATTGGTTGAGTGATAGATACTGATGATTTAAATACCCTACTTTGAACAGGAGCGGAGGAAACCGAGAAAAAACGAGTTTTAATGTCGTTCTGCGCAGCTTTTGATCAGGTTCATGAGACATCACATATTTGTATTCACGAGGCTGACCGTCATGAGAGTCGTCAAAGCTTTTTTGTATCAAATTGTCTGCTCGGTTTCCACTGAAACCAGTCGCAGGGGCGCGAAGAGACATTTGGAGGGCATCTTTTCTCCCAATGATCAACTTATCGACTTTTAAAGTCGTGGCCTAAACTTTTCTGGGGACTTTTCGAGGCAATACCATTCCTACTTCCCGTTGGTGTCGGCGAATCCGTAACGACGTAATTAGGAAGCGAGTTTTCAGTTGTGTAACGAGGACTTCCATCGAAGAATGTGTCCAGCACCAGAAGCTGCGTTGTTTGGGTGTTGGGACTTGCGGACGACCATGCAACTCTGTATCGGTCCCTTGGCTTCCTGCTCCGCCCATTCATGGCTTCCTCATCGAATGCTTAATTTCTTGTTCAGACCAATTGACGTAAAGTTGTAAACGTAACTGTCGCTGCTATCGCTGCTGCACACAGATCCTGCACACTAATGTTCACACCCTCACCCTAGTACTTTCCTCCTTGTTTGCTTCCCTCTTCCCTTGTTTGCTGAGTAAAATAATAAATAATCGATCAACTGTAGCACCTTTTCGGCGGCTAGCTGCCATGCCACACGGAGGAGGCACGAGGGCTGGGATACTACCTGGTCGTCCAAGCCTAGACTGGGGAAGTCGAGTGGCAGAGGTCGGGTTTGAACCACGAACCTTGTGGTCAGTAAATTCGCGCTCTAACCACTTCAGCCATCTCGAGTTGCTATTAGTTTACCTCAGGATTTGTCTATCCGTCACAGATGTTTAGTTGTCAGAAAATCAGTCGCTGGTGCCACTTGCCTGCCGGTCTTTCCATTTTCCGATTGGCCAGATCGGTTTGATTCTGCATGGCGATCTCTGTACAACTTGAGTGAGTTGTTACGATTGTGAACGATCGTGCATCTCTGTATCAGTCCCTTGGCTTTCTGCTCCGCGCACTATGGTATATCAAAAGGCACGGTAGCTCTAGACATCCCCTTTATTGAGGCAAAGCGAAATTATTACAACTGTACTTATGGGGTAATCACAGGGTGTTCCACAATGTCTTGCTAGTATCTCCGTGAGGGGGCGAGAAGCGTCGAGTCAAAAATGCTCGATCCGTCCGAATGATGTGATGTTTCTGTTGTTGGGGACGGTTGTCCTCCGAACAAGTTTAGTTGTCATTAAGTTGATACATTCCTAGGGGTCATGTCGTTTGACATATTGGAACGCATGTGGCCTCCAGTCGGAATTCGCCTCTTAAGTAGGTGTCAGAGTATCAAGCTCATCATAGACTTGCTCACCTTCGCGTCACTTAAGTCCAGTAGATCAGCACGAAGGCGGTTCAATTCGTCCCGTAGCTTGGCATTCTCTGATTCCGTACGACGTCCCTTGGCAATTGCACGCTCTGCATTCTCGCGTTCCACCTCCAGAGCAGCCTCAGCTTCCGAGACTGTCTGAAGCTTGCTCTCCAGTTTGGCGGCTTTATCACGCCACATACCCAGCTGAATTTCTTTGCTAGCCAGTTGGTCCTGCAGACGCTTCACTGTTCGACTCAGTCCGGCAATCCGATCCGCGTTTGCTTGAACGTCAGTAAGCAGGCCGAATTCTCCACTGACTATTTGGTTGATCCGTGCTGAAAACCAAACATTAATCGAAGGCCTAGTTCAGGGCAACAGAAATCAATACCTCGTCTAATCCCACAGCACTGTTCGGTGTAGGCTTACAAACAAGTGCCTTCGCTGGTATTGCAATACTCCAGTGCCCGGATAAAAGCGGTAAACCAAAATTCGCGAATCAGACGGGATCATCATCATCATAATCACACGCTCAACACTAGCCCACATCAAACAAGCCTCAAGAAGTGGTGCGGTAGCTCTGGGGTGATGTATGAGTATCCTATCAGACAGCTGAAATTTTTTGGCTCGAAACGGGTCTACAGACAACGGGAACTGCTGAAGTACATACAGGTGCGATCAGCCAGAACAGGTTACTTTAGGGAGAGGACGATAGAGATTGGATACGGAAGTATCACTTTCCACAGTAGTACTGTGAACATTAAAGCCGCAACTCATCACATTTAGGGGATCACATTTTTCCAAGCACATTGATTTTGTAAGGTATCCAAAGGTACCAAGAGTGGTGACCAAACCTTGACCTGGCAGAGGGGTATGAAAGAGATTACGGGACGCTTGGGTGCTGTCGGTGCTATTCGCCTTCCGGGACAGGGACCGCGTCATTCCCACTGTGCCTGGTTGGAGACCCTACAAGATATGGCTGACAACCGATGTCAGTGACGATCTTGTTATCAGTTTCCATATAGACTGCCTGAATGATTGTTTGGAGGTGCAGGCCCCTCGGAATGATTACAGTAAGCTAGCAGTAATTCCCTTCCCCGTCCACTTTTATTCTTTCCTTTACAATAAGGCTTTCAAATAAATCCTGGTTATACGGCAGTGAAGCATCAGTGTTGAACACCGATGTCATGCTGTTGATGACGATGATAATGATGACTACTTCCGGTTATCTTGTTTCACTGTAGTACGTCGGCCTACATGGTTGATACGAGATAACGATGCAATACACAGTATCCCAAGTCAAGCCGTCGTCTCCAGGGGGAACTCTGCCTACCTTGTAAAATCATACACTAATTCACAAACACAATTGGTGTTATGCTGACGAGGAATGAGATTCTTCAACTTACTGTCCCTCGCAAAGACGGCCTTGTGCTTATTTGGAAACCATATTCGAGGTACTGACATATTTTGTTGATGTTCAGGCCTACCCTTACTTCCAGTTTATTTCCCAACTCTGTAGGCATCCAGTTTAGTCTTCAGAAACGAAGTACGTCTGATGCAATCTCACCACTACCCCCACCTGATGTACTCTGAAACAGGGAAACCGATAGTGGGGTCTGGGAACATTTTTGCCAACCTTGTAATTAGTGTCGTATCAGGACGGGCTACTACCATCTCACCCGGCATACTGTCCATGGGTTTGTTGACTATCCTTTTGAATGTTACTAGGCGAGAGAAGCTGTGCTATAACCAAGAGCTTTATGGTGATAGCGTACCGTCCTCTAAGCTTGAATGAAAGAAATACCCCATCCAGCTCCTCCATTAGGTTGATTTCCTACAGTTATCGGACATGTTGTCCTCTGAGTGACCAGAAAATTACTAAACCGATGCAACTTGTTGTACCATTCAACTGCTTTGATGCTCGTCTTGTTGCAGCTGCTTTTTTGAAAGATCAATAGGCGCCCTTCTCCTGACCTCCCGATCCCTTGTTCAGTTATGCCTCCGACCTACCGAGACAATGACAGATTAGACGAGAAGAAAAAGAAACATCGCGTTCGACAAAGTGGTCCCAAGGCTGACAAAAAGCAACTCAAGGACAAGAAAGCCCCTTCGCACAATGTGAAAGCATTTGCTGTCCAGCACACAACGAAGGCCGCTCGTCTCGTTCAGCGTACGCTTGATTATCGGACAAAGAAGCAACACCTACCCCAGTCTTCTCATGTAGTCGATGCACCGCCACCTATGGTTGTCGCCCTTGTCGGACCACCGAAAAGTGGTAAGACAACGCTCCTAAAAAGCTTGATCAAGCATTTTGCTCGTCAAGCAATCAATGTTGTCAAGGGTCCTTTGACAGTGGTCGTTGGTAAAAAGGTGCGACTCACGTTCATTGAATGTGGTTGTGACATAAACAGCATGCTTGACGCCGCCAAAATAGCCGATGTCGTACTTTTGATGGTGAACGTTCGCACCGGTTTGGAGATGTACCATTTCGAGTTTATCAATATGGTCCAAGTACACGGAATGCCTCGGGTTATACCGGTACTCAACCATCTGGACACGTACAAAGATTCCAGTTCGTCGAGAGCCGTGCGACGGAAAATCAAACAACGTCTTTGGGTTGACTTGAATTCCAAGATATTTCTTTTATCACGATTCCAGCCGAAAAAATGTAAGTGTTGGCGCCCGAGTCTCAGTAGGTATTTTATGTTTCTCTGATAACCTGTTCGTATGAGTTTGACCCATCATGATTGTAGTCGGTCAGCTTTGGCACGTTTTTGTTACATGACTTTCATGTACCTCGAAGGAAGCATAAGGGCTGAGCTACTGATGAATTGTCCAGACGTAGACAAGAGCAGTGTAAAAGTCAGGGCTAGGTTTGAACCACGGATTTTCCTATCAGTATCGTCCTACCTTAATTGGTAGTTTATCTCGAACCCAGGACGTGTTATAGGCAGTTCTATAACTTGTGATCTGCATTCTCTTGCTGTCAATATCTAGCTTTTTTTAAATTTCACCACATCATCAACCCATTATGTATTACACGAAGCGTAGAAGACATTTTCCACGCATGTTCTGCTTACGCAGCTATGGCCAGCATATTTACCTACCAGGCAGCTGAAGTGTTGAAAATCTCTCATGTTCAGACGAGCAAACCATTATGCGCTAGCCTGCTTTACATCGTATATCTACACGGGTCATTTCCCTCCAACCTTTCTTGTCCCCAATATGAGGACTGTCGGTCTGGGGTAGATAGGTAAAACTTGGGCCACCTCAAAGAATACAATTCTGATTGTGTTCAAAGATGAGATGCGATGATTTTCACCTTTTTGCTCGGTTATTTCCGAAAAGCGCGTAGAATCATTCGATAAGACGCGAGGCGTCATTCTAGTATGCAATCTGCTTCGTTTCTGAACCTGATTATGTGGTTGATTGTGTCAAACTTTGATTTGCACAGACACATCAACTCAACTAAAAACACTGAGTAGTGGATGTCCACTTCTTTCACCTCACAGTCAGCAGCACACCTCAAAACCAAAGTTGCTTAGTGAACTGGAGCATGCAAGAACGAACTGTCCAGGATAGAATGGGTATGATTTGCTAGGCCGAAGCACCACAATCACATATGTGGTGTTTGTAGTTGTAATGAGCCGATGAATCATCCAATCAACCTGTCAAGCCGATCCGTTTCATACCAGGTCTGAATGTTTTGCAACGCCCAAAATTTCTTCATCCAGCTAGTTGTGGTACATCGGATTTACCTAGTTTGTCATGGTATCAGAAGAGCAATTCTATATAGAGTGAACAAGGACAGGGAATCTGTGCGACCCCTCTTGAGCGTTCTGACCAGTGGGTCTTGGGTAAATACAGGTGAGATTTAAAGCATGTTTATCTATGACAGCCGTGCAGTATCCCCAACTTCGATACGTGTGCAGTGGGAAGAGATAAGGCCAATATTATATGCATCTTAAACTCAAGTTATTTTTACAACTTTACCCGTTGTATTTTCCTTGATCAACTCTGAACAGGGCTGAGAGCCTCATTGCCAGGCACACCTGCTTCCAAATTACTTAATCACTGTAGGACCCAATGGTTTATTTTATCTGTTTTCTTTTTCACTAAACCCGGTGTGTTAGAATCTTTTCGATCGATTTTTTGCAGTGCGTTTTGTGAGTTGAGTTTCATCAGTCTGAAGTGGGTGTTCCGCTATTGATTTCAGTGCACTAGAGACTACTAGGGTGAAAAATAGTAACAAAGAAATGGAAGAGATTTTTTCCCTTCCCGCACTTGCCGTGCTGTGGTGGTTGTGTTGGATAGGAGTGTATTTTCCTACTCGAGCCACCCTAGTGAGATTTTACAATTGTGGGTCGTTGTGATACTTTTTAACACGCGTCATCACAGCACCAACCCAACTCAGAAAACACGCCTGCTCGTTGATCGAACGTAGTAAACGNTAAATGGAGACATTTAGCCTGGTTGATGAGTTATTCCAAAGTGTATTACGGTTGGCGCGCAGCAATAGTTTCCTTTGGATTTTGTGTCATACTCTCATTTGCCCGTTCTGATTCTGGCAAGTAGCTTGTTTGCGGCGGGTTAGTGAAGTTCACATAGGTATGGATAACGTTGTTTCTCGTAACCAGAGGCTCGTCATGAAAATTAGGTTCCAAGGATAGAAAACGGCACAATAGTGACATACAGCTTGAAGTCAACATCATCTCACAAAAATTCGAAATACAGCAGTTGTTGAATGATCGTTATGAGTTCATATCCCACTGGATCCCATCGCGACCTGGTATTTTTCTGTTCTAGATCCTACTTCCGAAGAGCCAGTAGGCGAATTTAGTAAGCCTGGAGATTACCTAATCGCGGAGGTTCGACGCCTGGCGCGAATGATTGTCGTCAAAATCCCTCGTGCTACTGATTGGCGCACGTCTCATCCGTATATGCTCATCGATCGCCTGGAGGATATCACTGACAGTACATTGCTTTCCGAGTCACCTCATGCTGATCGTACGGTGAGCATGTATGGCTGGGTTCGGGGCGCTCCATTACCGCCAGCACTCACTTCTCCAGGAATCCATATCGCTGGTCTTGGCGATTTCACTCTAGCCGATTGTACTCGTCAACCGGACCCGTGTCCTCTGCCGAACCAGATTGCGGCGCTGGCCAACATTGCTTCGTCAACCGGAAAACCCAGTCGCCACCTGGCTGAAAGAGATCGAAAGGTAAATCACCGATGATATTTCCTCTTGTCCGTACATCGCTACTGTCTAGTAAAACGCGGCACGTAATGTGTACCAAGCAGCAGATAATATCCCTCACTACGTTTCTAGCGAGTGGTTGGGCTTTGATTTCATTCCGTCCTAATAACTTAGTTAATAGGTGGTTGAATTAGCTACTGTGGTTTTTCAAATTGCGCTTGTTTGGGCTTACCGTTTCTGACTTCAACCATTTAAGAGTAAGGTGCTTCTTTCTAGGTCATCTCTGCACGTTTACAAGTAGTTCATAGCTTCGCTAATTTTTGTATCCCCCGATCATCTTTTCTAGGGGTTCATAGGTGTTCCATCTAGGTAAAATTTGTTACGGAACCCTCTTATCTCGGCAGAAGAAATCCACCTTTATAACTTGATGTCAATTTTCCTAATGCATCGTGAATGGTGTCGTTCTCTCTCAATCTTCAGATTTACGCTCCTATGTCGAGTCTTGGAGGTGTATTGTTCGATCGAGATGCAACCTACATTGACCTTGGAGGCAGCCATTATTTAACGCAACAGCGACAACGCGGCGGGCGTTCTCAAGTCGTCACACAAACAGCACTAGACGAGGTTCATGCAACCTTTGGTCACCTAGGCGGCTTGGATGAACAGATGGAGAGTGAGCACCGTGTCCGCATTTTGGGTGATACGCCATATTTGCTTGGGAAGCAAGTAGACATGGACGATGAAGAAATGAGCACAGGTACAGACACCACTGACAATGAGAACGAAGAGTCTGACGAGGAGGATGACCAGTCGACAGAACGTACAGCTTCTGTCACCCAAACCGAGTCCGTAGAAGATGCTAAAGTATTTTCCGACAATCTGTTTGCCGGTTTTCTCGTACCAGCTGGAACAGAACCATCGCGCCAGCCGCCTGCGGAGACTCGTAAACATCACCAGTCGTCGTCTACAAACAAAAGTGTTCATCTCGAAGTGAAGCAAGTCCTTGACGGTGAGTTGTGCTTACCTATTGGTGGGTCGTTTCAAACGTTCACATTACACGTGTTTCCCATTAAATTTTTCATTGACCCCACTTCATACGCAAAAACAGACCGTGCGATTGATTTCTCCTAGATTGAATACACAGAGCTAATTTTTTTCGTCGGGTTGCGATAGACTCACCTGGACCCCAGCTGAATCTCTCGTTTGTGGTGTTTCGTCGTCTGGTTTTCTCTTACCTTGCAAACCTCTCACAGCACCCTATGTTTTCGAATCGCAAACAACGGCCCACTTGGAGGTTAATGATTTCGAGCCCTTTGAAAACTTCGCAAGTGCATCTTCTGTCAGCCACGGTTGAGTATGCAATGTATCAGTATTAGTTCGCGGATAAATGTGGCTAGATGACACATCTGCATTATGGATTTTGCTCTAGGGCAATCGCAGTTGAAGAGAAAATTTCGTGCCGACGAAAATGTTACTTCTTCGTAGGGGATCATCGACAATCGTTATGTCTGATTTGGTCTGGGATGCCACCATTATCTTTCAACAATTCATCTCTCACATTGCATTGGACATCGGCAGGTCCTAGAGTCATTTTTATTCCAGTGTGTAACGGAAACTTATACCTGTTGTGATAAGTTTGGGCAAGTTAAAACTGGTTATTTTAGTTTCCATATTCAGTGGCTGTAATCCGGTTTGCGATCGGATAATGTGCCAATCTTCCCTCACTATTTTGGTGCCCGTTTGGATGTTCTTCCACCACCACCATCACCACACACACCGTATCCTGGGGAAAATTATACGTTTACCCAGCTTGGTTGCACCTCATTGAGCTGACAAAGTCGTGTCTTATTCATTATAATTATGTGAGTTCTTTGGTTGGATCATTAAGTAATTCTTGTGATCAGTGCTTTTTATCAAGAATCTCTCCGCGCACCTAGGACAACACCAGACGGAACTGGGAAATATGTATTTGGTGCGCTTGCATGAACCATGCTTCCTGCATAATGGTATAAATCCGCTTTGAGTGTGTAGCGTGGCCGGTGATCCAAAATCAATTTTGATGGTACTTCGGATTCAGTTTCTCATCTCTCATGGAATTCCGACAAACAGATGGCTTCATCCAGTAGTTGAACGTATCGGGCACGTCAAAGAGTGAATCTCCTCGGTAGATTTATGGTTCATCTGCCTATCTGCCTAACGACATGTTCGCCTGTTACTGTGGGCTCAAGACAAGATGAGAACACTTAAATTGAAAGGTCTTCTGTTTTACCGCAGAACCGACGGCTATTCTTGTCCAAAACCCGAGGAACCTGGCAGCGTTTCAGCCACTTTTCTTACTGCATGAGAGATGTATTATCAAACTATCATCTACCGCCCTGTAGTTTGTGATATATCGATCTAAAATGTACACAAAGCATTGATTAGATAGCCTGTCGTCCATAAGATTGGAACGGTCGATGTACTCTTTTGTAGCAGTTTCGAGATGACTCTTGCTTCTTCCTGTAAGCATCTCACATGTCTCTTTAAGCGATGTAGTTGGAATTGTCGTGATTTTTGATTCTGAAACTAGAAGATCGAGTCATGCGCCGAAGTATTCTACTGGCTGCCATAGGACGCCTGCATCACATCTTCACTCTCCAATGGATTCTGGAACAGCTGCGCTTCTTCTAGCAGTCAAAATCGACTGCTTTCTCGACCTGAAGATTAACTTCGGATCCACTGATGGTTGATGGCGCTGTCTGTCAAGAAGCATTACCCTTCTGTAATTCTCAGCTCTCCAAACAGTGGTGCGCAGTAATTTTTCTTTCACCTTGGCTTACCACATATCCATTGGTGTACGAAAAGTCTGTCCTTCTACGGCCTCTAGTACCTGTTGAGTCGAGCTGATCCACTGACTTGTAGATATTGAATACATGAATCATGCAACTGTTCTGATGTCTGGCCATTTTGGAGCGTAAAGTATATTGAATAATTCTCTGTCACGGTTCGTATTCTATCTACTGATTCGCCAATTTGTGGTGTCTGCTGCTGACCCGCTCCAGTGCCTAGTGCCGGAAAAAAGACTTACAGAAGGAAACACAACCGCTATATTCCGAACAAGCGAGTGAGTGAGAGAGCAAAAGATACAATGGCCCCACGCTATTTAAAGGGGACTTTCTGACATTGATCCAGGCTGTCTGATAGGCGTTAGTGAACACCCATCAACATCAACCGTGCTTCTATGAGATGCCTAAACGCTGATCACATTCGGTCATGCTTCTGTGGCGTGCATGAACACCCATCAGGTTTTGCTGAATTGATTGAATGATTGACTGGTCTGAATGCTTGCCGGCTTTCCAGTTGAGTTTTTGGTGGAGGAGTAGGCTTCGGGCGTTCTGAGGTTACTTTCAAGAATCTGACCTTCCTGACAGTTCGGTATTCATTTCACACCTTAAGATTTTAATTTTTTGCTCAGGAATTGGTGGAATCAAACACGAACCTCGTGCTCTTGGTTGAGTGAATTTGGATAGTAGAAAATTACAATTGCTTAAGAAGCTGTATCAGGCTCAATGGTCTATCGAACGGGGATAATCCTATTCGCATATAGAAGAGGGGCTTCCACCAATCTGCAACTGATGCAACCAGATAGTCTCTCAAGGGTCAAGTTAAGATTGTCACAGCCTGCTCGATGCTGCCATATGGGTAACCCGGACGTTGTGGTTTGAAGACGTCAAAATGCATGCAGTGCTTGATCAATATCTTCGGGAATAAGTTTATCGTGAAATTATCACACCGAACGGTTTTGGGAGCTGATGAGCCGTTAGTACTCCGTGGGTTGCTTTGGCTTGGCCACACGCTATAAGTGTCAGTTAATCGAGTTCTCCGAGGAACTGTTTTCATGTAATTATGCACACAGTCGAAATAGTCCATGGAGGGTCATATCCTGACTTGGTTCTGGGATATGGGAGTCATTATTACCAGATTGGCCACATCAGAAGTTGCAGATACTGTTAGAGTTGTCCAAATCACACCTTCAATAACTTAACCAATGCCTTTCTATTCACCGCAACCCGTTCCGATGTTCTCATAAGCAGCAAACACCCATCACAACCCTTAAACTCACCGTCCAACTAGCTAGTGTCTCCAACGCGCAACTATCCCACTTCCGTCGTCCACTACATTGATGGACCATACTTATCCATGACCTTTGTACATGTTCACGGTTCCTGCATCTGGAAAAAGGATCGGACCGGAGATATCTATTCAATCGATGCAGTAGAAGTAGAACTGTCTCTTTTAAATTGGTTGTCTAAGACATTCTGTGGTAAGAAATATATTACCACTTAAAATTCAACCCCCTTGAAAAGTCTGTTTTTCCTTGATTCACCGTTCGAAAGTAACTCTGTCGACCAGTTGGTGACGCGATTCCTCGAAAGAGAATTAAGATGGCTTTCGACGCATGTGATTTGAGATGTGTGGTTGGTGACCAATTAAGAGATAGAAGGAAGACAGGTTTGTGGTGTTGCTCTTTTCAGGGGTTTTCTGTTGGTTCAGATGTGCCTGCACTTCGTGGTTACTGTGTGCTACAGCCTGATAGTACCAACTTCACTGGAGACACCTAAGGGAGATAATGGTTACAACATGTACCCAGTTTATCACTTTTGGCCATCCGGCCAACCAAAAAGAGCATTTTTAACTATCAGTCGCTCCCATGTTTATCGATTCAGCCCCGTCCACTTATGGATCTTTGTAACGACACAGACTGTTTCAATTGGACCATTGAGTCTTGAACTAAGTTTGCTTAAACGCATTGTGCAAGCTCCAAACGTGCTGGACCCCGGTTCTCAGTGAGAGACACTTTGCAGGCACCATGCACGTCATGACCTCACTTTCATATATGGTTATTAGTTTGTGGCCCTTTAGGTGAAACATATTGGAACCATCTGTTTATTTCAGAGTGTTTTCTTCACGTCAGTGTAATCAGTGCTTTTGGTAAAATAAAATCGATATTCCATACAGCTGATATACCCAGAGTAACCCAGTACTGATTGTGCCCTACTTAAACCTGTTTCGTTTTCTAAGCTAAACTCAACAACACTTTAGTATTAGAAGTGAGCACAGCTGTTGATCCATAAATCGACAGACTTCTATCTACCCAAATGATTGATAGACTGAACCATGAACGCTCTGCTCAACTTGAGCTACGAGCCTTCTTGCTTAATTGTGACACGAGACCTTGTTAGCATTGAAGGGACCAATGAGCCATCAACACGATGACATATTCTTATTGGTTAACGCTATTAGCACGTGCTTAAGATCGTTAATTTGTCTGTACGGAATTTTTCGCCTAAACATTGCCACGGGATATTCAGATGAGTTGAGCTTGGAGCCAAAGAATAAATCCATATTGGTGAATTTGTGATAATGAGTGAGGACAAGAAGTGGTGCTCGTTGTATGAGAGGCCACCTGATGTCAATTCTAAGCAGTCTGAGTAACAAAAACCATAGGCTAGAACAAGTGGTTGCAAGTAAAGGACAAAACATAAGGTTTACAGCACATATGTAATTCATTTCGTTTTACCTGGCATAATGTGTATGTGGAACATCCGACACCTTTTGAGTTAAGATCCCTCCTTGATTTCCGCAGTGCGACACCCCTAACCTCATGCTCTTTTGGACCTCAGCCAGTATATCTAGACGGTTGGGCTTTCCACATGTTGGCAATAAGCTTTTTCATGTTGTTTCGCCATCCTTCGTTCCTTTCAGCCGGACCGAACGGGTCCACACAGCGTACGGTTAGGTGGACTTCCGGTGACGTACGCAGAACATGCACTAACCGGCGTAAGCGGTATATAGAAATGGTAGTTTCCACAGGTGGGATGCATGGGCTAAGCGCTTTCCAAAGCAAAATTCCCGCTGACCACACGAATTTTGCCACAATAAGTGAACAGTACTACGAAAACAAATACTATAGAAGACGACTAGTAGTAATCGGATCTCTCTAGCACCTGTTGACCAAGTCTCGTTACCGCATAGTTGTACAGCGCCCATAATGATGTAACTAGGCTCGTTCTACGAAAGTCCGATGCGTCGGTCCCTGGAGTACTGCATGCTGGCGAACGCTGACCTGGCTTCTAGTATTTGTTGGAAATTGACCAGTTCAATAATAGTAATTCCTGGTCTTTTCTTTTACAGATATTGATTGGCGAACTACCCGGCCAGCACGTGTTAATTGGAACCGCATTATCTACAGACAAGGTAAGTCATGCCTCCAATGGCAATTTAGTGCACACCGTCTGAGATTCAGGTCCTCACACTTCTATCGGGTTACGAGAATTCACTCTTACCATACAGGCAGACGGAATTTTCAGTTTCCGTAGGAGCAGCTCATTCCTACAAGGAATTGGGTCAAGCAGTTGGGTTGTTACACTGGTGAATGCATCTTTTAACCTGTCCATTTACGTATAATACATATATTGTTGAAACTGTCTTGACTCAATGTCTTAATCACGTGAGTAATTGTTACATGTTGTTGTCTTCTATGAGCACTTTTATCCAGGTTTTTAATCTAAGCTAACGTTTTATCGAAGCGTGTAGATCTTTCACCGAGCCGGCGACCAAAACATCTAACCAACCGTTACATAAATATTTAGGCAAGAGTGTGTTAGTCTTCTAGAGTGCACATTCAGCTGAACGAAGATTAATGATCGCTTATTGTTACCTGTACGCCGTGGTTTTGACACTTACCAACCATCTTTATTCTTGCAGAATGTCAGCCGTCCGGGCCGTATCCATTTCGAAGCAAGCTCTGTGACTAGATTCTGCTTATGATTTCCCACAAGCTTTTTCTCTGCCTGCATTTCTGGACTACAGGGTCTCATATGTAGCGTAAAAACCGATAGGCTTGGCCTACCGTATGTCATTTCTGTGTGTCGCATTAGGTTCCAATTGACTGCACCCTACTCAGTCGCAGTCAGGATAGCCATAGGATATTCTTGAACATGCCTTCGACTATGGAATTGGAATATATGTTGTGTTAGTCTGTGTGGGAATACTATTTTGTCCCGTTTACCACTGCTCCGGAAGTTACGCCAATTTCACCCAATGTCTGGCGAGCTCTCTATCCACGTCACTTCCATTTCACAGACATTGAGACTGCTCAGCGGCGAAGGCGCCAACCCACTAGCCAGAAAGTCCGTACTTCGATCTCACTCCTGGCTTTTTGGTTAACCCTGTCTAGGCTTGTGCAAGATCTATTTTTTGGGGAATACGAGGCTTAAGCTTAGTAGCGAATCAAGTACCAGAAGGGCGTTAAATAAGCTCACTATACCTAGAGTGGCCTCAGTGACAAGACGAAATCTCAGTCGAAAACTACAGAATCTCTTCGTTCAGCTGTAACACCCTTCCGGCGCCTAGCTGCCATGCCACCCGAAGGAAGCATGAGGGCTGGGATCCTGCCAAGTTGCCCAAGCCTAGACAGGGGGAGTCAAGAGGCAGAGGTCGGGTTCGAACCACGGACTTTCCGGTCAGTAAATTCGCGCTCTAACCACTTGAGCCATCGTGCCAGAATCTTTTCACACTGCGATCGCTCTATAAACGGCTCAGGAAGAATAATTTCACAAGATGTGTGAGACTTCCATCTGGGAAGTCGTCATTCGAGGAGCCAGTCAATACTTGACCAAATTGTTGTGGTTTCCATCATTCATGTATAAATGGCGCTGTATCCTGTCCAAGTGAGGGTTTATCACCGCTGATCAGCTGCTTCTGGTCGAAGGGTTAAGTGTTCAACCACTAGCATAAGGTTGCTGGTTCGAACTTCTCAGTTCCGTGAATTGCTCGCTTCTGATGATTCCCAACATGGATAAAACAGCTGTACAGTCGTTCTCGGCTTTTCAGCATAGATTGGCTCCACTTAGATTTTCAAAATCTCCTCACACTGTGATCAATTTCTTACACAGAACTTCCCGCGTCCAAGCGTGATTCAGGTGCTTCCGTTGTACGCTAGTGGAATGGTGGCCATGTGATCTTGCAGCATATTTGATGCCCGGCGTCCGAATCTCAACGTTGCGTATGAGCTGTAGTAACGTTCCAGTCCAGTGTTTCCTCTTTTTGATGTGGACTAACCAGTATAGTTGCTCCAGCACAAAATGAGAACTGATAGAATACTCCTACCAGTATAATATTTCTGCCTAACAGCTCCCGTTGTAATGACCCTCTCTCTAATGCGACCTTGTCGCCCCTAAACGGCTGTCGGGTTTTTTTGGCTTTTGGTTCCGGAATCGATATCTTAGAGGGTGGTTCGTGGGTTAAACTTCCGATGAACGTTTTTTTTCATTTGCATATATTTTCCTTTCTTGCGACGTCATGCTTACCTGTTACGACATCAGTCAGTAACAAATTGGCCTAATCTGTCATAGACAAATAACAGCTGTTGCGGCAAATCCAGTGATGAATTCACCATTGGTATCCAGATGGTTCCGACAAAGGTATAGCAAGTAAAAGGCAAACAAACACGAGTTACTGTAGTGCCGCGTTAGCACTTCGCGCAAACTAATGGCATATTGCTATTTGTGTCAAACCCTGATTTGAGAGCCTACTGTACTCAAATGGGTATCAAACCAACAAACTAATCGGGCCATTCTCTCGTGGTTTTTGCAAGGGGTAATGGGCGCATCAGTGGACGTAGTGGGATTGAATGGTTACATTTCGGTTAACATCTGAATCAAGCTCCCGCTGACCAGTTTGCGCTGCTGGTGAATTTCCTGTAGATGGCATCATCATCGTCAATTCCGGCAGTGAAAACCGGGTACTTGCCATGCAGTGGTAGTAGCTACCCTAATTCCGTTCGCCGCCGATTTGGGAAGGTGGGATACACAGCTACGCATTGGAGGCGGAGGCTGCTGAAATTGATGCGTCAATGGACTTTTCATTGGAGAGATCGGGACGGGAAACTGTATTGAATGCAACAGCTTGGATGCATGTGTGCCACTGAGCGCGCGACGGAGCCATGTCTGACAATATCTCTAGTTATTGACGTGTTTCGTTTCCGGGTCCCACTGAGACGGCGCACCAAAGCTTTCTCATTTAGGATTAGCTGATGTCACATCTGTACCACAGGTTATACCTGTTCACAAAAGTTGCTCTGGTCTGGCCTGTTTGCCAATTTGACGTAGAGTATAGACGTCAAAAGCTCCTATGTATGAAGGTTCTCGTGGATTTAGCAGTGTTACTTTTGTTGATTGTTAGTGGGCAGCGCACTGGATAAGTCATATCGGTCAGATAACTGGCAACCAAATGGCTCAGCAATGTTTGCCTTTGGTGGAAAGAGGTTGGGGATTGATATCAGTGAACAAAGAACTGTGCGGGCAAATGATGCTTCCCGGTTGTGCAGGTCAAGAAAGGGGGTTTGTTTGAGGTACCCCACCTTGAGCCTTGGTCACAAAACTTTGACCCACAAGATAGTGGGAGTATGTAGGGTTTTGTTCGGGGGGCCCTCTCCCTAGCCTCGTACTCGATAGTCTAGCCCACGGGGCAGTGAGAAATAGGGTTTTCTTGAGTACCATGCCTGGCGCTGATGTTTCACTAGTCTGATCTGCTCCCCTTGAGGAGCTGGCTTTACCCTATGACTCCTAGTGCGGCCGCGCACGCAGGTGCCTTCTAATCAGCAACATATTCTTAATTTTAAGAGTGTTTTGACCGTACTGAGTGATGCGCCGGTGGTCGCGATCAACTTTTGGGCGATCAAAGTGTGTGGTTTTCAGGGCCATTCTTTTTCGAGGAATGCAGTGTCGCTGTTCCCATGAGTAAGGACATGCTAGTCATCTGCGAAAATACCTTACCTTACCTTTACACTCATCGGAGAGGACAGTACGATTTTATCCCCAGACCGCCTCGCACTACACTACTCGTATTTGGGGTCCGTTTCCTCTCCTTTGACCTTTCTGGCATGGTTATACCTTGTGGGACGAAGTTCCATCCAGTATAGTCCGCGGGCTCATGGCAGCACTCAGGCCGATTGTCACGTCACGGTGGCAGCTCTAGGTCCCTTTCAGTTAGACATGAAACTACTTTGACCAGCTGTTTCGTACCATATATCCATCACGTAAATTACCCGTCCAATTTTAGCGATCGTGTGTCGAACCTCAGGAAGCTATGGACTTAGGTGGGTCGAACCCTGGCCTGTGGTGGCTTGTGGAAATTGTATTTTAAGATATTGCAATAGGCTCAGGTCGTAGTTTCCCACAAAAACCCACTTTATGCAGAACACACTCCACTGGTAACTGCTGCAGCTAGACTATCAGATGTTGCACCCATGCATGTTGGGTAGTTGAGGAAAGAACTTAGGTCATTTCAGCCCTCACGTTTCGCCGCATGGATTTCCGAAATGGGTCCACCAAATTAACTGTTTTCCATCAACGTTCGCGCGCACTAAGTAGGCAGAAGATTTGCCCTGAGCGAAACAAGTTTATAAGAAGACAATCGATGGTAAAGAGCTAACCATAGAGGACCACTAGAATCAAAATGTCCTGCACATTATGCATACTGTTCCGCACCCGCTTGGCACTAAAGTTCTTAGTATGTTGTACCTGGAACCGTTCTGTAACCGCCTGGTCTCATCTCACCCCTGTTAGCTACATAAGCCTGGCGGTGATGTGGGCCAGTAGTCAGTCCAGTGCGTTCCATACTATCAGTTCTGCATACTTTATTTGGCAGTCATAGTCCTCCAGTAACGTGCCTTGTGGACTTTGGAACCGTCCCTTCTTTTTTGCCTCCAGTCTGATTCCTTCCGATTTAAACAGGCTAAAAATGCGCTCGTACTGGTTGACACACTAATTTGCGCAAAAGGACAGACGATATTAATTAATCTGCTGGTTTCCCGCTGGCTTTCATAGCCTAAATTTCATATGGACCCAGTGTACGCGTTAGTCGTCTAAATATGATATCCATATTCGTGGCTATCATATCCATCTTAAAGGATTAGACACGAACAGCTGAATAAGATTTCCGTGGGACCTAAACCTGTGTTCTCACTGGGTCATTATTTGTGCCTGAGAAGCCTCAGCGAAAAATTGTGGACATCATTCTGCAAAAGATTCGGGAAGCCCATCACGTCGCGTGCCCTGGCAAATGTAAACCACTCTCGTCCTTCTACTGAAGTGGTTGGGACGCAACGAAAAAGAGCCGCAGTTGGAACACTGATGAAATTAATCCAAATCAAGTTGTTAGAATCAAAAGCTCATCCAAGGGCTAATGGGCAGTAGACACGATCTGACTTTGTGTGGAACTATCATAATAACTAGTGGTCGTAGGCGATATCGCAGTTTAACTGCCATTTATATACCTCGCCCTTTTCACTGGTGAAGTGCTTACCGATATATGTGGATGTGCGAAAAATCGCATCAAAAATAGTCCAGTAAGCAAGGGAAAACAGATGAAGTAAGAATGACTCTTTCACTATCGTGGCAATACTTTCTGTGGAAGTGTGTCAGATGCTTTTACTTTTTGCTATTATCATTCCGAGGCTGCGTACCTACTTACTGTTTCATCCACCCCTGGTAAGCAAGATACCGTGACTGACGCTTGTCACCTATCAGGCAAATGGGCTATTTTATCGTTTCGATTTTACAGAAGTCCCGTATGACATGCTGAAAATCCGTAATGCTCTTTGGTTTGGGTATGATCATCACTACTTCTCGCAGTGTTCACAGGCCAAATGGCTCTCAGTTAAATCACTCATTTTGGGCAAATCGTTTATCCCCGTCTAGTTCAGTCGGATAACTACTTCTCCCAGTGCTAAATCAGGTTTTCCTCTTAAAAATTGGGTTAGTTTAGCCGTTTAGTTGGGAATTTTTCCACTTGCATTCTTGGTGAAATTTTAACTGCTTTAAAAGTCGCACTTTGCTTGGTTTCCGGGGTGCAGCGTATGGCAGACAAGCTGTAATATGTGCTTACTGTACATCTAGGAGGAATTCAATCAACATAGACCAAAACTAGACAAAATCTAGCTTATTCAAGGTTGGTTATATGTCGCCTGATTAATCTGTTCCAGTCTTCAGATCCACACCAACCCAGGGACTAAAATACCCACGTTTTGTACGCCTCCCAATGAGAAGCACATAAACACGAACACGTTGACAAAAATACCTTTGTCGCCACAAAACCTTTCGTGTATTAATGAACACAAAAAGGCTCACTTGTCAAGAGAACATATGACAGCATTCTGTATGTTTCAAGATTTAAGAGTGAACACCAAGTAAACATAAGCTTTTTTTACTCATGTAAAAAAATGCCTGGAAAAACTTTTCAACACCCCTATTCCCGTTGATTGTGGGTATTCAAATCCAAAGAAATGAAGCGTCAGGCTTCAGTATTGTCGACAGTAGGTTGTCGATATGATCCAGTCATCTTCGTGCTGTTTCTAAAAGCCTTGTGATCATTTACCGGATGAGTTCTTTTTGCTGACCTTTTTGGATAGTGAGTAAAAGTGGGCATCTGCTTAACAGGACATTCGTTACCTTTCCAGGCTTTAATGTATAAACCTGCGACTGACGGCAATTCATCAGATTTGGTCACGTGTCTGTAGAGCCTAGTTGGATCAACGTGAAGCTCATTGATTACGTGAGAAAGAAAAGTGCATTGCACTTTAATCCGAGCTGTTTAGGTTATTACAGGTTCTATCATTCACTGTACTGCCTTCATGGTCTAATTTTACGTCCGGGATTCGGAGGGTTGGTGATGGTTAATCTACGATTGCCATATTTTGTCGGGAATGTCCAAAATGCTTCAAAAGGGTCTCGCTGAAGTCGAGTTATTGTTTTATGGCAGCACGCTCAAGCACGTATATCATTCTTATTGGATTACGCTATCCCTGACCATTCTGCTGGGACGTCTAGGCTTGAGCAACCTGGCAGTATCCCAGCCCTCGTGCTTCCTTCGGGTGGCATGGCAGCTAGGCACCTGAAGGGTGTACAGCTAGACCATCTTTTTCTGCTGGGACGTCTTTCCCTCACAATAACCAGTTGGATTGGCATAACCTCGTTGACCTGCGCAACTGACTGATCGATACATTTTGGGTTATCAAGTGACTTGGTTCTTCGCGTTGACCATCGATACATTTTGGGTTGGTAGTTCTTATCAAGTGACTTGGTTCTTCGCGTTGACAGCTTTCACAGACTTGCACCGTTTCATCGTCATGAGGCTAAACAATATCAACTAAACTTTCATTTCAGAACGCCCATCTACTTCCAGTCCTTGTTCTTGTCTTACTTTTAGTTCAACCATCGGAAATTGACGAAGCAACCACCAAATCCACGGTAGACGGGCTTTTTCGTGTCCCTTCTCAACAAGGATTTGATGATCATCCGAGCCTTGGAATGACTGTTAGGACTCACGACTTTACAATACCACTGCGTTTCGGCAGTTCGGCAAGTTCTCCCACAGACTGGACAGATCCCGGGATGCTAGAAAGGATAGCAAACAGATTTACCACCGGGCAATGGGATGCCTCAGAGGACGCCCAAACTCTGCTGCAGACGGACGCCCAGGCCCGTGCTGCACTGGCTGCACAGGAAGCCCATAAATATGCCGCTGCTTCAGCAAGCAAAGTGCGTTACAAAGGGGCCTCTGATGGCTATTCGGATGAGGAGATGGAAGAAGTGGAGGGTGGTGGTGAAGGCGAGGAAGAGGACGCTGCTGATTCTTATAACACATCTGATGAGTCTGACGTAGAAATGGCGAGCGATGAAGATGTCTTTGCTGGTTCCGATAAACAAAGTGGGGATTCTGGTGGACAGGAATCTGATGCTGAGAGAGATGACCCGAATGCCGAATTCGAGAAGGTAGGTTGAAATAAGCCGAAACCTTTTGTACTTCGTCGTTTTATGTTTCGGCTTTGTTGATTCTTTGGGCGACTCTTAACAGCAGTGAGAAGTGAACACTGGACTGTGGTCTCCGTTACAAAGCAAAAGGCTAACTCTGTGGACAGAACCTCTCACGTTTGTGCAGGGATTCAATGGGAATTGGTCTTTTACCTAGCAAAGTTTTATTTTACAATGCCTGTTTTCGTCCTCTGAGATCATTTCACCCAACAGGAACGTATCCTGGTTCATACTGTTTACCAATCTATGCACCAGATGGTCTTTTAGTGACTGGGTACCCAAAGTGGGCCTCCCTTGACTGATGGTCCAGTCGCGTCCCTATGTGTGAAAGCTTCAAATGGCACCCAGCCCTTAACTGTCCACATCTGGTAGTTCCCACTACACCGCCTAACCAGAGTGATTGTTAACCCTTACCCATCGGTGGAAATCTGCAGCAAATTTGGTGGACCAGACGAACATGCTAGTTCAATAACAACGAGATTTCTGTTGCTCAGTTCCCCATACACTTATCTCCACTGCATAACGGTTGGACTGTTATTCCTATCAACGTAAACAAACCCCCCAAGAAACATCTCCTTCCCTATATGTTGGATATATGTTCTTTGTTGACCAAAACCGATGTCAAATCTGGAGGTGTAGGCACCTCGGAATGATTGTGGTAAGCTAGCACTGAGTCCCTTCCCCGTGCACCTTTACTCTTTTCTTTACAATAAGGCTTTCAAATAAATCGTGGTTGTACGGCACTGAAGCACCGGTGTTGAACACTGATGTCATGCTGTCGATGATGATGATGATGACTTGAACAAAGACAAACTACTTGTCGGACCAGTTATTCCCATTTCCTGCATGCTTACTACCAGTGTTTGTCATTTCCAACGATTACATTCTCGTCTCGTATTTCACCAAGAGCTAAATTCTGTTTTACGGTCTCAAGATTCTGGAATGTCACCTCTGCACTGCCTATAAGGAAATGCCAAATTTTCGGAACCTCAGCCCTAAAGAGACGTAAAAACGCTGTGAATAGCCACGCTGAGGCTTTATTGGAATAATATCAGCCTACTGCTAAGAGTTTCATACTGCTTTAGCTCCTGTGCTGGAATTTCGTCCCCAGGATGACGTGGCGACCAGTCTTGAGTGCAGGTCATGGAATCAGTTACTGACCGTGTATCAGCAGCTATGTTTAGCCGATGTTTGCAAAAGGTCAGCGTCTGCTGGGAAATTTAAGTACCAGGAGAACCTGGAGAGCTTTTTTAGTTCCAACTGCGTATCTTTCCATAAACTGTTAATCTCACAAAGTGCTAGTTTGAAGTCCGAAATACATGAACTATTATCAAATTGTTACTTGTTGCGGTGATATCCATGTGTTAGACACTAGGTTTTCGCACCAAACGGTTCGGACAAGAAGCATCTGGCTGAAGGTTCTCCTCGTGATTTCATCGTTCGCTTCTCTAAAGGGAACCAGAGCGCATTGTTACGGTGGTCAGTGGTGCGATGCCAAAAGCAGATACTTACTCATAGTTGAGTGAGTTTTTGCCGTAGCTAACCGTGGCAGACAAGTGTTAGAACATGCCAGTGAGGGAGCTGTATTGCACGGTGTCTAGGTAGGAGAAGCTGTTCAGGTGCGACGTCCTAGCCTACGGTTCTACACTCAGGTGGGAATACTAAAGCTGTCGTTAACTGTGGGGTAGTTTTACCTGTCCTATCAAATGTGATCTCAACGGAGGTTGATCATTCAAACCCGAAAGACACGCAGTTCAAGCGTGACTCCTACAGGCAACCGCCCCACCCCTTTCGCACCGATACGTTCGCCGAAGATGGTAGTGGTCAGCACGACTCAGTTTAAGGCACGAATCAAGCCAGCGTGATTAGCCTTCGCAGACACCCATGTAACTTCCTTAATATACCTATATCACCCACGAGATCTCCTCAACGGGCTTCGATCAGGTAAACTCCATCTCACATTCAAGTCCACAATTCGTTTTACTTATTTCTTACTTTATTTCTGTTCGATCTCAGTCGAAGGACAGTGTGTTTCACGAAATGTGTTTGCCTCTCTATTTGCTGCGATTGATTTTAGCGTCTCCTCCGACCAACCAAACGTCAGAAATTGTTGGAGAAGCGCAAGCGCCACAAAGCACTGTTTGAGAAGCTGTATGAAGCTGCTGGTGGAGGTTCTGAGGCAACTGCGTTCTACGATAAACTTGTGACTGCAAAGGAGGCTCAGCTAGCAGCCAATCGAGCAGTACTCCAAAGTCTTTCTGAAGAAGCGGTAGAACAACTTGAAGGCTTTCCTCCAGGTGCTTATGTACGCTTGGAGTTCAGAGGTATGTGCTGCTGTTTTCTGTGTCCTGGCTTTGTCAAGGTTGGTTGTCACTTTGCGTCCATCTACTTACTTCGATGCCCCACTGTAGCTGGCACAGTCTAGTCTACTTGACTCAAAAAGTTATTAGTTAGAATAAACTTTACTGCTAGAATGAGCATTGAACGAAGAATCTTCGAAAGACACCCAAAGCAAAGCAGTTGCACACAGTTCATACGTTGGCCGTGTTGGATATGCTACTAGTTGGTCGAATCTGTGATCAACTAAAACACTGTTGATGTGTGGTGGCCATCACTACAATAGATTGCGATCAAATGTGTATACACTATGTGGCCTAGCTTTCCCCATCTCATCTATACACAGAACATACACATAGGGACTCTCGGTCGCTTGAGGAGATGCGAGCTAAGGAGCTGAAGCTCAAATCAATTATTGGCCTAGAGTCACCCTCGTACGTGTTCTTAACGCCAAATTGGCTTTCTCGGTACTTTGCTACAACCAACACGTCCAACAGCGAGCGGCATCTGCTCGTCTTGAGCTCGTTTTCTCATCGACTTTAATGAAATTGCCTCTACATGCAAGCGTTGCTGTCTGTCTCTGTCCATCTAGTTTCCTGTAGCAGATACCGGTCTCACTCAAGCAGTTACAGCAGGTTTTGCATGAGGTTCGGGTGCCGGATGAAAGGCGGCTATGGGCGGGTTGCATAACGGTTCCACTTAGCATGTGCGATATGCTGCTTCAAACTAAGGATGCAAGGTCATCGGTGTTATTCTAATCACCACACAGTGGCCATTTTTATAGTCGTATCAAAGTGTTGCATACATGCGCCTTGTTGATCATGTTAGTCTATTGCTGATATAGTACCTTTATGCAGCTGCTTGTCATTCTGCTTATTGCTGGCTTGCTATCTCAGGGCTTAACACAAAACTTCGGTTCAATTCAGTCTAGTTACGATTTAGTTTTGAGGCCTACCTTCTGTTGCAGGTATACCGTACCAATTTATTGATCGCTTCAATCCTTGTCAGCCCCTGGTGGCTGGTGGTCTTCCCAGCGCCGAGGAGGCTAAAGGCTACATCCAAGTTCGGTTTCGTACCCATCGTTGGCTCAAACGTGTGCTTCGATCCAACGACCCCATCACCGTGTCTATCGGCTGGCGTCGCTNGATCCAACGGCCCCATCACCGTGTCTATCGGCTGGCGTCGCTATCAAACTGTGGGTGTATTCTCGAAAGAGGAGCACAATCTTCGGAATCGATTCCTCAAGTACTCTCTCCCTCATGAACATTGTCTCATCACTATCTACGGCCCTTTGGTTCCCGCAAAAACTGGCGTTACATTGTTTGTCAATTCCGCGTGGCGCCCGCAATCAGACGCGTCCGGTCTGCCGACATTCCGTGTTGCCGGAACCGGGAGCGTTACAGCCACAGATCAGTCGTTTCAAATTATGAAGAAACTCAAGTTGATTGGAGAGCCGTACAAAATATTCTCCAAGACAGCATTTATTCGTGGCATGTTCAACAGTGCTCTGGAAGTTAGCAAGATGGTTGGCGCACGAATCCAAACGGTGTCCAACATCCGAGGTTTGTTTCCATTCTATGTTGTAACTATTCCGTTAAATGTTTTCGTACCGCGTTTTCTGGTTGGTAGGTTGTTACGTTCTTGACACAGAGTCAACTGCAATTAGTCTTTGATTTCAGTTTATGGTATACTTTTCGGTGCGCTGTTGTGTTATCCAGTGTATTGACATCTCCTTTTAACAGACAAGAGAGACCATTTGGCTGGAGCTCTTAATACTGAGACCTGTGAACTCCGTCAGATCTCTGTTTCTAAGGTAAAGAATCCATACATACATGTAGATCGTGTTGCCTTGTACGTAATCTGCGCACATCAAGAAGTTGTGCTTGTTCGTGAGTACGTTACACAGTGGCTTGCCATCCATTCGAGGTATGGAGTTGGTTACTGACTTACCCTCCTGTAAATTTAAGTTTGACGGCCGTTGGCAGGCAGGTCACTTTTTGTCCGTGCGTGAACCACTACCTAGTAGGCACGGAGCTATCGGGGTTGTCACCCCAAACGCTCGTATCTAGTTTGCTTGAGTGGTTAGAGCGCGGATTTACTGACTGACAACAACGTGTTGTTGTTGAATCGGGTACAACTAGAGGTTACGATTAGGTCGTTTTAGAGAAAAAGACCAGACCAACACGAACAAGCGACCATAATGAAGTTCAGAGATGTTACCAAACCACCCAAGCCGTTTTCTTTGAAGCAATGGTCAGAAAGTGCAAAAAAACCCAGATAGTCTGTATGAGTTGCAGCAAATTTGTGTCAAGAAGCAGTGTCAAAAACTACTGAACGTTCTGCCCAAGGAAAGTATTATTGGATTTTCTGGCTGTTCTTGTGTAATATTTTCACAACGTGATGCACGATCAATTATCCGGAATGAAGAAGGGTACCCTGTAAGTTATCGGGTACCAAGTATAGTTCACCATGCACCTAGTTGGATCCTGCAGCCACAGTTGAAAAGTATCGCTGCTTTTGCTGCACGTGACCCGATTTCAGTCATGCTGCAATGCGTGCACGTCAGCAAAGGCATTAGTTTCATCATCATCAGCAGCATCCCAGAAATTCCTTACAGACAGGTTGTCTCTTTATAACGAAATCATCTGAAGAACATGGGCAACAAAAAACTAAGCAATCCAAAGATATGGGGAAAAATATCTCTGGTGAATGCGGATTCAATTTTGACTGTAATACGGTAGCTTTTGCGACAAACATAAAACAGATAATCGCTCAGCTGTAGCAGCCTTTTGGTGTCTCACTGCCAGGCCACCTGAGGTAATCACGAGGGGTGGGGTACTGCAAGGTTGCCCAAGCCCAGACAGGGGAAGTCTAGAGACACGGGTCAGTTTCGAACCACGAACCTTCCGGTCAGTAAATTCGCGCTCTAACCACTTGATCCATCTCGCCCGCATACCCGATTTACCTTAGTACCAACATACTGTAATCAAAATTCGATATCGACAAGTCAAGATAATCCTCAACGTGAAGAAACATCACATGATAAGTAGTTTCTACTCCGGGGTCAGCTACCGCCTTAGCTCTGAGTAGTTGCACAGTCATGTTACCGATATTTTACCTTCTCTAGGATTTGTGGCCTAATTATATTTTGGCTGAACAATGACAGCGTGGGTTATCAGAGCCTATCTAACTAGGTCGTGTCTGCGATTAATCAAACGGTGCATAAGGTTGCACTTTGTAACATGTCAGAATTGCTAGTACAGCGAATCAAGCTCATCAGGTAATAGCAGCCTACTCAACTCCCTCGCTGGCAATGACACAGCAGTGCGGATTGATAGTGGCTATAGTTTTTTGTGCTTGGAATCTTCATGTCTCTGGGACGGGAGCCGCGTCCCTCCTTACATGGACATGGCGAATAAACGTTTTCAGTGGTGGTGACGTTGTCACTTCTTGACTGGATTGCCCATTGGTTTTTGTTGAGTAATGTCATCATCGACAGCATGAAATCAGTGCTCAACACCGATGCTTCGCTACCAAAAACGTTGAGTAATGTTCCCCAAGTATCCTGGTTTAATCCCACTGACGCCATCTAATTCTGACGTTGTGCCGTTTTCAATACTGTCCAACTGTGTAATCGTTCCCCATAAGGGCATTTGACCTTATTACGAAGCTTCAATCCTTTTCTTTCTTTCCGATCTTTGCCAAGACATTTCCCTCTTTGCAGAATTTCATTTGAACGCCAGTGTTCACTGCCTTGCTGTTGATGACGATGTTTCCACGAACTCTCACCAAAATCAACAGGTGGCGCGTTAATATTCCGTAATAAGCATCAATGTCCGGAGGGTGCACTCGGAAGAAGAGTATAGATAAGAGGAACCCTTGCAATATAAGATCAAGCTCAAGCCCAGCTACAAACGATGAGACTATTTTTTTCAGCTAGGTTACCCAGTTTGGAACAGTTGAGAAGCAACAACTGTGTCGGTAAGATGACACTTCGCGTCATTATTGAACCCCAACTGATTATTCCTGTGGTTCATCCATGCTGAAGCTGTCTCCATCACTAAGCAGTGTAAAGCTCCTTTTGGTGACTCCGTGTGACAGTCGATTCATTTGAGAAAATGAGGTGTGTGTGTGTTTGAAGTCATTGAAATGTACTGAACTTCACCATTTTATCACAAGATTATTGCTGCTCTATGTGTTTTACGGACGCATCTTATGCCGACACTGACACTAAGCATTGCTTTCTTACGGTACATAGCATACGTACGACGTTCAAATGTGTACTCTGCAGAAATTGAGTTGGTGGCTTCTCTAAAGCAAAAGAGGCACGCCGGTCATAATTGTATCTATCGTTCAGCGGTAGCACCCTTTCGGTGCCTAGCTGTCATGCCACACGAAGGAGGCACGAGGGCTGAAATACTGCCAGGTCGCCCAAACCTAGACAGGGGAAGTCGAGAGGCAGAGGTTGGGTTCGAATCACGGACCTTCCGGCCGATGAATTCGCGTTCCAACCACCTGGTCCATCTCGCCCCCAATTGTATCTTTACACCCTTTGAAGCTGTGGCAAAGTGACGTGTTAAGGCTTAGATGCAAAAAAAGCCTTAAGTTGTCACCGAAACCTTGATGAGAAGCCAGCGGGAAATCATCCCATAATTTCATCCTGTTCATTTTTCGTTTTTGGCTTTCCAAGTCAGTCGATCAGTGATGTTCTCGCACATTCTGGGTTTGGTTCCTGAGAGGATATACCATCCGTAGGCCAACAATGATTCAACTCGACTAACTGGGGGTGAGATAATAATGAATAATAGGGTTAATTGTGCAAAATTTCGTCAGCGCTGTATTACTTTGTAGTGTGTTGATCCAGTTCCTCTTCACACGCAAATGACTAAAACCCCAGACTGAGTTCTTTGGAAGCGCACAATCCTGGCCGATTCACCGTAACTACCTACCAGTCGGTGAGGAGGGGCTTATCCAGTCATCGCCTGTTTTTCACTGTGATCAATTATCCGGAATGAAGAAGGGTACCCCTGTAAGTATCGGGTACCAAGTATAGTTCACCATGCACCTAGTTGGATCCTGCACCACAGTTGAAAATTATCGCTCCTTTTGCTGCACGTGACCCGATTCCAGTCATGCTGCAGTGCGTGCACATCAGCAAAGGCATTAGTTTCATCATCAGCATCAGCATCCCAGAAATTCCTTACAGACAGGTAGTGCTGCGGCGCCACATTTAAAACTTCCATGGAGATCGAAACTGCTGGTGCAAACCTAACGTTCATTCGGGAAAGGCTTTCCTCGTGGGAAACGCTCGTACCCTTTCTCAACTGGTTTAACCCGTCTTGTCGCGAGGGAACTACCATCAGCGTAACCATAAGCCAGAAAGAGATGGCTCAACTATTAACTTTCAGTAGCGTGGTCCGAAAGGGTGGGCAAGTGTTTTGGAAAACAGCTCTATTCACCTCTGGTAATGCTACTTCTGGAGATGATACATTCCCTGAACGTCTGTTTACTTAGCTGTCTTTAATGTTCGCACACTAAAGCAAGCAGGACAACAGGTGGCTCTTGCTCGTACGCTGGACTCTCCATTGATGTATGCTATCTGTCGGAAACAAACATACAGGACGCAAGTACTGTAATCGAATTGACTGCCCTCCAGCTGTCTTGCAGGTTGCGGCTGCGCACCTCTGGTGACGCGGAGGCCTCTGCAGCCGGATACATCGGGATGTGTGCTGTGTTGAGCGATCGAGTAGAAAAGTCTGTACTTGATCGGATACCCTTTGAGAGTCTCCCCTGCGTGGTTCGTTTGGCGACGTCTTTGATAAAATCTCAAGAAACTGAGATCCATTGCACGTTGTTTACTGTGTTTGGTTATTCTCCACCTGACCGTAGCTATGAACCTACCAGAGACAGTTTCTATGGCGCTCTATGTGCTCCTTTACAATGGGGTAAAAGCTCAAGCGTCAGATAGGTAAACTAATTGGGTGGTCGTTTTGGTTTGGATATGAAACGCACGGAAACCGTCTACTTCAGATGTGTGTCGATTGCAGACTGATCCTTCGCAGTACTGATTTCCGGGACTGCAGAGATCGCTTGACGACGTGGTCCCCACCAACGAACCAGCCCCGAATCCAAATGAACCACGTGACCTTCAGTCATCGGTGACCAGGCTCGATCGCTGCCTGCCGCTCCTACCATGCATTTGTGCATTGTTGCTTTTCATTGCGCTTGTCAGGTCTACGCAAGATGCGCATTCCTCGCTCAGCTAGTGCTTCTAGACAGGGGATGTCAAGAGGCAGGGGTCAGGTTCAAACCACGGACCTTCCGGTCAGTGAATCCGCGCTCTAGTGGAACATAAGTTTGAAGGAAACTCGGGGACTGCGTCTACCTGATGATCCCCAAGAAGGGCGAAACCAATCGTAGGCTATCGAAAAGTTTTCAGCAACCTTCTCAGTAGTCACCCGCTAAAACCCCTTTGTAATTGCAGACTGAATCAGTATGAGGTGTTCGCTGAATGTTATTATCAGTTTGCGATATGTGCTTAGGTGTTGCGATCTATCGCCTAGATTAAGCCTGACAGTAGACAAATCGTGCCGATTGGTTCTCCCTGCGCCTCGTAAATCGAACCGTTACCTAGTTACCTGGTCCGACGAAATTGTTTTACAAAAAGCAAGCCTTTGTCGGGCGCTAGATGCACCAGCTGTTTTATGGAATTCTCTGAAACCGTGACTTGTTGATCGGTTCCAGTCATTTCCAGCTGATCGTATCCATACGTGTTTGCATAACGTAAACCAAAGAAGTCTCATTTGCATTCAATCATGGACGATTAGGCAGGCTTTCCGCGAAGGTAAAATGAATTGTTGTGTTCTTAGCCAGCTTCTACATCTAAGTAGTCCCATTTTTCATAAAGGAAACTACTCACAAGGTTGCTGAAAACTCTTCGACCGCCCATGACCGGTCTCGCCCTTCTTGGGGCTCATCAGGTAGGCGCAGTCCCCGGGTTTCCGTCAACCTTATGATCTACTTGAACCCAGATTGGACTGTTTTCGAGAAATACACTCATTTGCAAATCAATTTGGTTTTCACGAGAGACTCAACTGAATCTCTCGTTTATGATGTTCTACAACTGAATGTCCTGCACACATGCCGCCTCATGATTCGAGATATCGCAGTTTATTTTCATAAAGGTTGCTGAAAACTCTTCGACAGCCCACGACCGTTTTTCTGTCTTCTCTGTATGGAGGTTCTGAACGCCTCTTTTTTTGTCTTATGGGTGTGTATTGAAGAAGATATTAGCCGATGATGCGTGCATTGCACTGATTGTTTCAGTCCTCCGATGGCAGTAAAGCATCAGTTTCAACTCTGATGTTCCTTTCCTTGGTGATGATGATGATGATGTACCAAACAAAGCTCCAGAAATACGAAATGAGAGAGAAGTTAGATCGTTCACGCCGACCGTTGGAACTAGCGACGCGTTCTTCAAGTCTTTGCGGAGAACTGGTGATGGCATTGACGATAAAAATGATGTCGGTTGCTGCTGTGACCTGTAAACTGGCTTGTCGCTTTTTTTGGTTTCAACACTCGACACTGGTTAACTGATCAAGTTTACCAAAGTTTTATTGATTACCAGCTTCTTGGCTGTGTGCCATCATGTGCTTTCTGCTGCTTTTGGAAACAGGTAGTGTTTAACCAATCTTTTTGTGATTAGCTCAGCAAACTCACGGTATGGCCGCGTGCCTTGTTGTGTTTAGGTAAGCCATATTAATAGTGCTTCCTACCGCACCTGCTAATGAGGTTAATTTTTGGCTTCAGTTTACTAATGAGCAGGCATCGATCAGTTCTGGGTTTACGTAGACTGATTCTCAATGAAGGACTTCGCCAGTGCGGTGGAACTTCCAGGATTTTATTCATCTACCCAAGATTTATTTTAGCTAAATGTAGCTGTAACCCGTTCAAAAGTGAATGAGAATTACCAATCAAATGATGGCCTCTCTTCAACATGTTACTGTGTTTAATATCTGAGGCAGTCACGGGCTGTTCCGGCCACCTGGTTGAAATGCTCTTGAACGGCTTGATCATATATGTCTTTACTGTTTTAGTTATGCTAATTTTCTGCCATGTGGTCCATACTAATTCCAATAGGCTTTGGGCATTTTCACCATTTTCTACTTCTGCTTTCCTACCATTCTACGTTCAGGAACTGTTTCACTCACTACACATTCAGTTTCACTTGCAGTTCACCGTTTATCCCAATTAAATCAGTTTTGCAGTTGGAAGGAACTTCTTTCAAGGGTCTTACCGAGAAATGCAAAACGTGTACGTTGATTGACCCGTCTATGGCTATCATAGTAACGCAAAGCATTATGGAGATCGCCGTTCAGTGAGGCGAATTTTCGTAGTTTCTGAAGGTTTTAGTGGTAGATTAGTTGGGTCCCTTACGAGCAAACTTCTTAGTCGATAAATGAACTTGTAGACCATGTCTCACTTCACCCAAGTGCCTCAATGACTGTTCCAAGTAGGCTTGTGACCAGGCTGTCTGCAAGGTCTTCCGCTAGGAGTGGCAATGTTTGAGTGACTCGCTATACAGTGTGTCGACGAGTTCGATTCATACAAAACTAGCTCTTGACTGTGCTGTCAGTTATTCCACGAATCGATGTTGCAAGCGGTCAGCACAGCTATGTTCGTCGTTGTTCATCTGCGCTTATNGCCCTTTCCCTACCCGGTGCTTTCAGTCAAGCATGCAAAATCTCGCCGGCCAATGTGTACAGCTTCGTTGGCCGCTCATCTGTGTGATTTTCTGCTCACACTAAAACTGATCCACATAGAAGTAATTTTCAGAAGATTCGCACTTAAACAGAATTGTTTCTTAAAGGATACTACTCACAAGGTTGCTGAAAACTCTTCGACAGCCAACGACCGACTGAATCATGAGGCAGCCTGTGTGAAGCACATTCAGTTGTAGAATATCATAAACGAGAGATTCAATTGAGTCTCTCGTGAGAATTGTTTCTGTTCAAGATCCCTTTTAATATAAGTTGTGGCAACCGACAGCTCACCGTAACCACATAATCGGAGGCAAGAACAGTGAATCCGCTTGACGTGCTGGAATCCTAATCTGTTCGAGCTTCCCTCTCAGTTGTTTGTGTAGTCCATTCACGTCTAACCCTTCAGCCAATATTTCCCAAACTTCCATCGGATTGTCCTGATCATCAGTGTATCTAGGAGAAACGCATATCTGGATTTCTTGTTTCTGTTCAAGATCCCTTTTAATATAAGTTGTGGCAACCGACAGCTCACCGTAACCACATAATCGGAGGCAAGAACAGTGAATCCGCTTGACGTGCTGGAATCCTAATCTGTTCGAGCTTCCCTCTCAGTTGTTTGTGTAGTCCATTCACGTCTAACCCTTCAGCCAATATTTCCCAAACTTCCATCGGATTGTCCTGATCATCAGTGTATCTAGGAGAAACGCATATCTGGATTTCAAGCTATCCTTAACGTCAGGACACTTAAAATGAACATAGGCTCCATCACGGTGAACACATTTTCGGATCCTGATGAAGTGTATCTTGATCCCAGCGATAAAAATTCCATTCAGTAGCATGAACTGTATGAGTGCTTTTCGGTTAAACCAAGTGCTATCAAGATGATCAGATAAATTTGTCTGGCTGGAGCTCCGTCAGCGCGACATGAGCAAAACAGCCAGGAAACGAACGGTTGATGCACCAGACTGCTAAGTAGCAATAATCATACCATTCAACCGCACATCAGTTCACCCCTTCGAACATGTGAGAATCCTGGTTATCCAAATCTGTTGTTTAAACAGACGCTGAAATCCATAGCTAGGGACAACAATCCTCCTGAATTGATTTATAGAACTGATAACTCCAGATGAAATATCCCAAAGGAAAGCTCTCTCAACTAGCAAGGATTGGCTACTATTAACTACCCAAGTCAGAAACTAAGGTAATCAATCATCCCATTTTTGAGGGATTTTTCCGTTTTAGAGATTCCGGTATGATTTAATGTTTTTAGTTACATGCAGAGAGGGGCGCTTCTGGCGGACTTGTGGAATAGAGATAGTTCGACTGCACTGCTTGCTTGTTGTCCTGTTCGCCGATTATGGGAGTTTGCTTACAAACTTAACCCCGCATTGACAATGTCACTTCGACTGGTGATGAAACGCTCGCAGTCTAACTGCCAGGCTCAGCAAACAGACCAACATCCAGGAGGCCTTTTTAGTAGCTCAAGCGGATGGGTAAATCGAAAAGAAACATTGAGTGGACAATTCGGCTCTGCAGATAAATGGAGAAATGGGATTCCATTTTCAAAAGTACAAGAGTCAGTCTCAACACTGGGTAGCTCAGATTTCGTTGTGAGCGGGGATCAACTTCATTTTTTTATTTTGGTAGAGGGTAGACAAAATTTGTGCTAACTGAACTGTCGTGCACGAAATATACGCAAAAGAGCCGCACACCTAATTACATGCACGCAACTTTGTGAGTTTTCAATGGTGACTCTACTCTGTGGTTGTTGTACCCTCACCCCCCTTAGAAATATCATTCCTCAGTTTTTCTCATCACTACGCTACTCTATCCTAGAGTGAGTAAATGTAGACTTGTCAGGGGTTTTCCTAGTGCACTCCCGTCATTTTGAACTCGTCGTTACAACTATTTTTCTCCGGTCTTACAAAGTTCTGTGTACTTCAGTCGAGTTTTGGTCAATCTAGGTGAGTGTTCTCAACAAGAAGCAAGGAGTTCGATCACTGAATACTGGATCGGATTCATAAGTGTGGCAAAATCGAATGGTGTAAGGGACAGACTGGTCGTGTGATCGAGGATTATCGATTTAACCAGCCTTTTCGTGTTGCCACTCGTTCATTTGTTTGCCTTAACTGTCCCCAACTAAATCACAAGCACCCTTGTCACCTTGACAACCGCCACCGTCCATGTGCCGTTCTAACAAAAAATGGCAACTTCGTGTGTTCTTTGGGCTCACTCAGGTCTGTCCACCTGTGATTTTCGGAGTGTTGCCAACGGTTTCAGATGCACTACGTAGGCTTTATATGCGTATTCGTGTGGCTTCCTTCCCTCCGTAAGATTTTATCCGACATGCACAGATAGACAAACTGAGCACGAAGCTTTATTAGGCACCTTCGTACTGTCAGCGCTGTCTTGTCCTTCCCCTATCTCAATAGATTTACGGGAACATCAGATTTCGAGTTGAGGTGCCACAAACCACTTTACAACTGTTGTGTGTATTTGGGGTGGAGCGAAGTTTAGTCTAAGCACTTTGAACACCGGGTGGCATGACAGCTAGGCACAGCTTAACCATTTTTATTTTGTACACCTTAAGTGGGGTCATTTGTAGCTTTCTATCAGTACCCTGTAGTCGGGAGCCCTAACAAATTCACACGATCTATGTCGCGCTTGTTCTTAGGGTTGATTTCGTGACTTATTCAAATTTGTTCATTTTCTCTTCCTTTTTGTTAGCATAGTGTGACTGAACTTCCGCATCCCATATCCGTCCATTTTTCTATTCTAGGTCTAATTAAGTCGGCACTGACCAATCCATCGGTTTCGCAACCTGGGGATTTCCGTGCCACATTCGAGGCTCAGCTTCGGCGGTCTGACTTGGTCTTCTTGCGCACTTTTGTTGCTGTCGAGTTGCCGCGCTATTACAACCCCGTGTTGAATCGCCTGTGTCCGGTGGAGGGGGAGGAAGCAGTTGGTCCTGGCGACACCCACGGATGGCGACTAATGCGGACGCTGACAGAGCTACGGAAGGAAACCGGTGTGAAGGTTGAAGTGAATGCAGACTCGCATTACAAGGTGAGCCGTTCCGTCTACCGTAGATCCCACAAGTCTCCCTTTCACTCCTTGATTGATGTTGACTCTTGGCTCCAAATCAATTTGTGTTCACTTCATGAGAACACCTCTCTCCTCTTACTCTTCCCTGTCGTTTATCCAAGGTTTCATCTTTAGCTGGCGAAAGTTCCCCTGTAGAGAGTATACCTGAAATTTGCTTCGGTTCAACCACCCTGTTGCCCGTTACCCCAGCAGGAACACTTTCACACTTTGATTGTTCTAGCAATCAATTCTTGGGAAAGCCCAGCCAACAGTATTCCCTTTGGGTCTCCCCACCTCGTTACGAAAGAATGATCCGCAATGATAAAAACGGGATAGAATAGGCAAACAAAACTGTGATGGATTAAGAGTAAAACACCAAACATGTAGCCCCTATCCGCATCCAGTAGTCTGATGCAGTCCGTCCAGGTAAATTCAACGGCGATTAGTAACACTCCTGTATAAGACTTTAATAAGCACCGGTAATTAAATCAAGTGATGTGGCACAAATATAGCATCAGCTAAGGTGCATTGGATGTTTGGATCTTTAACGGCTGCCTTAAAGGACCAGCTGAGCGATGACACATCACTCAGGGCATTGAGGTGCCATAGTAAACCTTGATGACATTGAATCGATAAAGAGCGCGTTGGAGCTCGGGAATTCGCTTCGCCACAGATCATTATATGTTCTTCCCTCTCAAGTCTTTCCGATCTCCATATCATTCTGACGGCCTAATTGGGAATGACTTATTCCACGTGAATCTGTGGTCACTTGAATGTCTTTACTATACGACACTTGTAACTCACCTATTCACCCACGGTAGATGAACTAATCACACTCCATAGGTTGCGCTGGCTTGCTCACTCGCTCTGTATGCCAGTTGGCCGACTTCCTCGAAAAGCCCTTTTCGCAAAACTACGTGGAGGCTGGAAACGAGCCAGGGGAGGTCGAACAATGACTTAGCAACGGACTATGAAAGCCATTACCAGTAAACTCAATTGCACTGATGATTGCGACCTCCCTGGATAGGAACTCTGAGACGGGAAATTTCAATGGTTAGAAACATTGTCAGACATGACTCGGTCACACCCTCAGTGGTGCTCATGCATCCGAGCTGTTGCTTTCAATGCATAGCTCTCTCCCTCCCCCCGATCTCCCCAATGGAAAGTCCACTGATACTACCATATTTACTTATCACTCACAACAGCTACCAGCTGAAATGAATAGTTATCTACCACACCTTCTCAGGTCATCGGTGAACGCAACTGTGGTAGCTATAACCACTACGGCAAGTACACGGTTTCAGCGGCTAATAATGCTTTTCATACCGAACCATATCCTGTAGATAGTTTACACTTCAACCCACTATCGATTTCTAAAGTAACTTTTCTTGTCTATATCATGCCTTCATCACAAACAGCCCATTCAGCGTCCCGTACACGTACCAACTCCTCTGTACGTTCCAACCAAACTGGTCGCTGCCTTACCGTTTGCACAAAAGCCGAAAATGTCCAAGAAGATGGCTCAACTAATCACCATAGGTTGCGCTGGCTTGCTCACTCGCTCTGTATGCCAGTTGGCCGACTTCCTCGAAAAGCCCTTTTCGCAAAACTACGTGGAGGCTGGAAACGAGCCAGGGGAGGTCGAACAATGACTTAGCAACGGACTATGAAAGCCATTACCAGTAAACTCAATTGCACTGATGATTGCGACCTCCCTGGATAGGAACTCTGAGACGGGAAATTTCAATGGTTAGAAACATTGTCAGACATGACTCGGTCACACCCTCAGTGGTGCTCATGCATCCGAGCTGTTGCTTTCAATGCATAGCTCTCTCCCTCCCCCCGATCTCCCCAATGGAAAGTCCACTGATACTACCATATTTACTTATCACTCACAACAGCTACCAGCTGAAATGAATAGTTATCTACCACACCTTCTCAGGTCATCGGTGAACGCAACTGTGGTAGCTATAACCACTACGGCAAGTACACGGTTTCAGCGGCTAATAATGCTTTTCATACCGAACCATATCCTGTAGATAGTTTACACTTCAACCCACTATCGATTTCTAAAGTAACTTTTCTTGTCTATATCATGCCTTCATCACAAACAGCCCATTCAGCGTCCCGTACACGTACCAACTCCTCTGTACGTTCCAACGAAACTGGTCGCTGCCTTACCATTTGCACAAAAGCCGAAAATGTCCAAGAAGATGGCTCGAGAACTACTTGGGGGAGATAAAGTCAAAGCCGCTGTATTTGGTGACTTACCGCCGCCAATCAAAGCCGCCGCAGACAGAAATATGGAGACACGAGAGGAACTGTTATCACGTCTGCGTCAGTTGCATGCGGATTATAAGCAACGTCAGCGTGAGAAAATGGTAGCCCGGGTGTCGAAGCACAAACAAGAGATGGCCAAACTGGAGCAGAAACGACTCGCAAACGAACGTCAACGGAGGAAGGCGTTTTTCGCTCGCCAAGGTGGTCGACGAAGAGGCAAGAAGAGTGATCGATCAGAATAGACGGGCAACAGCCCATTAGTGTACAGCGGAAATCGGTTGTAATATATGTTTGTAACAATTTCGCTCGTCTTTGTCCTTCATATAGCACTACAACATTCATAAAACGGAGAAAAACTTCTCCATTCTGGTGATGAATGACCATTTGCAGTTCTGAGACACAATGCTGCAAGCATATGAAATTTTGTACCTGTTTTCTGTAAGGGTTGGTTGGGTCTTGATGATTGACTATGCCGTGGGCCTTGGTTGACCTTGACTACCCCGGAAATAAAAGTTTTATCGGCCCAAAATACCGGTCACATGTCAGTGACACATCGGAATGCCATTGGCGAACGATTATGTTGAGTATACCGGAGAAGTAGCTTTTTGCAGAGAGAGTATATAAGTGTTTTTCGTCGTGATTGAGCTCGAAATCTTTTAATACACGATGCATCTTGGCCGTATTAGTGATTCTCAGTCCGGTGTATGTGCAGGAGAATTGTAGTATAGTCCTGGATAGTCATGTTTCAGCATCTCTGCAAATTACGGATTCGCTTGTTCGCTGAGACTGTCCGTCAACATTTGGGTGATTCTGTTTGTGAATTCAATGTACGACTCCATATATCAAAACATTTAGCTTTTTCGCTGATGATCTGATTATTCCAGTGTGTGATGCTTTGAATATCGCAACCTTATCAGTCTAGCACTGAATAACCAACAGTAATCGATGTTCTGTTCACTTAAAGTACATTTAACACTTGAACCTGACAGAATGAGCCGTATAGGAGGACGAGACATGTCAATACGAATAAGTGGAAGGAACAGAATCAAGGTTTACCTTGCCCTTATCTATCACATCCCTCAGTAAAGTAAGGTCGATAAGATGGCCGCTTTTCGTGACATCCACATAATCACACTGTCTATGGTTACCCATGGTTTTTAGTTCAGCCAAAAAGTGTAAGCCTTTTCGTTTTCCATTTTGGTGCTACACATGTTCCCCTATGAGTCACGTCTGCGGTGTAGGTTAGTGTCTTGTCGTTACCTCTTCTTGCTATCTAAAAGTGGTCACTAACCTTTCCAAACCTCGTGTCACCCCGCTGATATCAATGTTTTAGCTATCAGATTTCGCGAATTTTATCCTCTATGAGTTAGTGTACGTACTCATCTGTGCAATACAGTGTGGTACGCGCAGGTTAGCTTGTCACCCTGACTGTTCAGAAACACAGATCTGCGACCAGGTTAGCAATTTCTCATATGGTACTGTCGCGTAATTTTCGCGGGTAGAGGTAGGGACAACGCACTGTTGTACGCCGCAGATAGAAGCCACACGGCCACATCTCAGTGGTAGTCTTTACTAGTTGTGTGCACCTGTATGCCATGACCGTACCATTCTCGTCGAATTCTATCATTGACATCATTTGTAATGCGGAACTTACCACGTCGGTTTGAACCGACGTGCTTGGTTTCCGTCTAATGCTGTCTAATGAAAGTCATGCGATGGCGGCGACTGTACCTGAGACATCGGCTTCGATTTTCGTAACTATTAACCTTATTCGGCTGTCAGCGTCAAACGCAGACAAGTGTATACGCAAAAGTTGAACGAAAAAATCGAAACATGGTGAAGTTGTCTTAAGTTAGACTGTGACGACAAATTTTGGTGAAATCAATCGTGCCAGTCCGCTGCTTCCAGGTTTTGTCATACACCTGATGAAGCATGCCTCAGAAACATCCGGGGATAAAGTTTCCTGCTAGTCAATACCTCTAGATTGGTACCACTTGCTTAGAAAATTCAACTCTCCTGGTCCTTCAGATAGACTGCGAAACTGCGTGGCAATTCGTCTCATGAATTATGAACTAATTCGGTCAAATAACATCGACGAAGACCATTTTTGGTGAGGCGTTTGAATGAAAGCCTGGCTAAGGATCGACCCCGCTTACAGTTCACGACAGCATGGTCGCGTTTTCTCTGCCACAAGCTACGCCAGTAAACGCAATCTCATAAGGCATCAACCTGGATGTCTTATCTGCGGAACAGAGCAGGACGAATGCTGACGCCTTTTATTTAATACCTCATGCCAGCACTTTGATGTGATTATCCTCTTCAGATAATTCGGCGAAACGCTATTTAATTCCAAAACCTGTCTGTATTTTCGGTTCACCTATGTTGGGAGCAATGTTTTACATCTGCTAAAGCTTCAATTGCGCTTTCCTTCTTATCGTCATCATTAATGAAAACTACAATACATAACCTTCTCGAACTCTGTTTACCAGCGTCCATTTTCACAATGTGCAACAAAGCGGTGAATCGTACTTGTGACCCCTTGTTGGGCGACAATTAATCACCTAGGATGAAGACTAAGGCAAGTTTCTGAGCTCAAAATACACTATCGCACAAGGCCTAGGTCATGGCAGAGAGAGGAATTTGCCATGTATTCGGCGATTATTAGTGCCAGGTGGACACTTCTAAATGCAACTTCGGGGTCGCCCACGTGCTCCGTACCAACCAGATATGTAGTTACGACGCTAGAATTTGAGTATGATCCACTGATCTCGAGCTCGCAGTTTTCTTAGTCAAGTTATGCATCTGTTTGATTATATTCATCTTAAAAAGCTGATTCGGAACTTCCAATGGGGATAACTTCTCTTCCCGCACAAACTGGTTTTAGAGTACGTTACTCTCAAGAATAAACTGATGTCGCTCCGTGGTTGGTAAATATCATTTCCGTTCAACGATTGGCTCAGTCGATCACTGAAAAAGAACTGCCTGCTCATTATTTGTATCAGCACTATGTCTTCAACTCAAACAAGTATTGCAACATTCAAATTGGCTTCTCTTCAAAATCGTAATTTGGTCTCAAATGGGAATAAGAATGGACCCGTTTAGTAGAATTCCAACCGCATTTGTATCACACTATGTCTTCAACTCAAACAAGTATTGCAACATTCAAATTGGCTTCTCTTCAAAATCGTAATTTGGTCTCAAATGGGAATAAGAATGGACCCGTTTAGTAGAATTCCAACCGCTGCAAGACAGAAGAATCTCCTATGGAGTGAGAAATGATCAACTTTGCGCCCATGATTTCTGAATTAGTTTGATCGTTTTTTATATAACAAAAACTAAGTTTAAATGACAGAAACCACGGCGAACCTGCCAGGAAGGGGAGGACCGATATAGGGTCCATGCGAAACCTTTCATGCCGAAATCTCTATTGTTGTCAGAGCTGCCACCTCGTAGATTCGATCCCGTTACGGAAGCTGAGTTGGTTTCGTGCAATCGCACCCACACAAAAGCGTAATTTTCGTGTTCATGTCACCTCCACTTCGTCTCGAATTGTCCTGGTTCAGTAAGTAACATTGGCTATTTCTTTTCAAACAGTACGGCCGCAAACCTGTCGCATAATTAATGTGTATCGTTTTTTCTCTCAGTAAAAGAATACGTAGGGATTTTCAGTGCAAGCCAGACGGTTGCTCCGCTCCACGTCTTGCGGAGAGCAATAAAACACGTCCCTTTGTTGAATTAGTGCAACTGCCTTCTCACTGTACTCTTTCAAAGAAAAGGCGATCCTGGGAAAATGTCCTGAGGCTGCCCACCCTCCGAATGTTTTGTGGATTTGGCTTTTCAGTATACCGTAGGACAAAACTGTACTCCTCTTAGAATGTCCGCTTTCACATGATAAACTTAGGTTCCGTTGCAGTTGACATTGTGTATACCGATGCCTGAAAAGACAACTATTTGCACTTCATGGACATTGTTTACAAGGAGAAAGAACTTAGTGTACTTTCTAAGGTTAGATCAGTCGTTTCTGGTATTGATCAAATTTGAGATGACCTCGAAGAACAATCACTTGTCTATGAGGCACGTAAACCCAGTATATAATCTTAAAACCAACTGTGAAAATTTGGTAGTTGGTCTGTTCACCGAGCTTCGCGATTGACTCGGAAACGTTTCGTTACCATGAGAGGCATCTTCGTCAGCGCGCGGTTGGCTGGGTCGGTATTTGATTTACAAACCAGCTCACTTTTCAAAATGCTATAGATAAGTCTTGCGTAGACGGCCTCATTCTGCCCTTGTAGTTGGTTTTAGTTTGTCGTTCTTTTGGTCAGACTAAGCTGTACTAAGTTCAGCCATTGACAAAAATCGAGATCAACTACCAACTGGTCAACACTTCCTTGGCTGTGCAGCTGGAGGAAGACGTCAGGTAACGCAATGGTTGAACACACGTCCGCTGAGGAACACTTGCTGGTCCGCACAGACTTCTGAAAAAAAGTTTGCCATTACCATCATACTTGCCACAGAATCGCGCCTTGCATAGACTGGGCCTCATAAGTGCGCCTTGAATTCTTCTGCGATTAGGACTCTATCGGAATTTCATTTCCAGCCAGTCTAAATCAAGAAGCCGGGATGCAATAGAGCTGGTTCATCCTTATTGGGGTCCATCAGCAGTGTGCCTCTCACGAATCGACAGGGCGGTTTAGACTGGATTCGCTTACTGGACGAAGCCTCGACCGAACTCTCGAGCTTTCCTCGTACTGTCAACAAAATGCAGGTGACTCAGTAGGAAGAATTATCCCATTTAAGAGGTCGTCGCCCGAGGAGCTGGTCAACACTGTACAGTGTAATGTGAATTGCTTGACCGAAGTGGTCCTGTCTACGTGCGAGTTAATGGTGCTTTTGCTCAGGTGCTCGTTGCCAGTCTGGTCTCCAACTACTGGCCATAAGGTCACGAGATGCGCATTGTTGATGATTTCCAGTAAGGATTGAACATAATTGTATGTGAGTTTAGATACTGTCAAAAGGCCTTGATTTAGACAAGAGGACGATCAGGCTTCTCGCCTAAAGCCATTGGCTCAAGGGCTCTGACCATCAAGCAGTGGTGGTTGGTTTGCGGCCAACAAATTAGTCCAACTTTTAAGAAGCAATTTTACCACGTGTGCCTCAACCCCAGACCGGATAGCTAGCGGACTGTGTTTCTCAGGCCTCTGTGCACTGAATCAAACTGATGAGATGGACAGTGTCTCGTGGTCATCCTTCCATATAGCTCATTAAATTATCCAGTACGATATGGGTAACACAGGTATCACGAGGTACCTCTCCCTAGGGGAAGAGTACTATATTTTCCTATTTAACATAGCTGGACACCTCAGTTCACTATATCTGTGGCTAAATTTATGGTGCGTGTGTTAAAAGACTCCGGCAAACTCGACTGTGTGTGTGTGTGTGTGT